GGTGGAGCCGACGAGCTGCAGCAGCTCCCGGTCCACCGGCGTCCTGGCCAGGTAGTGGTCCGTCATCTTCACGGCCAGGTACAGCGTCTCGTGGTACAGCTCAGAGTTCTCCTGCACGCGCGCGAAACGCGGGGGGGGGGGGGAAGGACAGACGGCGGAGCGGCTGAGTCTCGAGGCGAGAGTGAGGAAGAGGGTTCGCTCCTCTCCAAACACACAAGGACACACAACCTCCACACCCCCCCCCCCCCCCCTTTACCTGCACTTCCACCCGCCAGGCGATTAGGAGGGCCCTCCTCCCCGGGTTGAGGCTTGGCTGCCGGGACTTGGAGTTACAGAGGACGAACTTCTCCTGTGGACGAGGAAAAACACGAGGAGGTGAAGATTCCGGGAGAAAGTGAAAACGAGGGCACGTCGTTTGGGTGTGGGGGGGGCTCCCCTCTCTTCGTTTGAGGTAGTCAAAGATGTCCTTGGCGTACTCGGGACACATGTAACAGTCCTCGGAGCTCTCAGAGTCGATGTCGAACTCGGCCGGGACCTACGGGGACGGAGACGGACGCGTGAAAAGAAGAAAAGGTGTGGGGGGGGTGAAGTCCCATCGAGGGGAAGCCGCTTTGAATTTCCCTTACGTGTTGCTTCTGGAGGTGAGCCGGCACTTCCCCGCCAGCAGGGGGCGCTGCAACCACCAGCTCTTCTACTGGGGCCGCAGCTGCCTCCTCCTCCTCTTCCTCCTCCACCTCCTCCTCCTCCTCCTCAGGGGTCTCCCGCTCAGCCGGCGCATCCTCAGAGCTCTCCGACGAACACCTGCAGGGAGAGACAGCGAGGCCACGTCAAGCAGAGCCTCCACCTGACGGAGGCCCGGGAGGGGCGGAGGGCGGAGGCGCGGCGGCGTTACTTCTTCAGGTTGGCCTGGTTCTTCGTCGCCACCGACGACGGGGCGCTCGCTTTCCTCGCTGGCGGCTTCTTCGTCGCCTCCTTCTTCTTCCTCCTCCCCGGGAAGCTGATCTGGACCTTATGAGCCTGTGGGGACACAGTGAGCTTCACGTCTCTGCAACAATAACAACAACAACAACAACTACAACAATAACGTGTGAATGTATATACGACTCTTGTTTGTATATCAGGAACTATAACTGACGCGCGCCTCATCTACACAAAGCGGGGGCCTTTAAGTCCACGCCACGTCCTAGTGGAGCAAACAAGCCTCCCCACTCTAATGGATCCCCCCCCCCCCAACCAGTCCTTTGATGACGTCATCGACCCTGGATGTGACGCTGACCTCGCGGGGGCGGGAAGCTTACATTGGTGATGTCGATGAACGCAGTCCTCTTCTTGGGGGCTCCGTGGGGGGGCGACGAGGACCGCTTCACCTGCGCGCCTTCCTCCTGCAACACACACACGCACGAGCGGGGGGTGAGAACAAAGCGCGTGCACGCCACTCCCCTCTTTGGAGGAAGATGCTGCAGCCCCCCCCCCCTCTGCAGAGAGGACATTTGACCCTTCACCTGGTTCTCAGTGGTGGTCGCGTGCGGTCTGGGCCCCTTGGCCCCCGCAGTGGCCGCGGGCTTCTTGGCCCTCAGTGGAGGCATCTCCGGCTCCTCGGGTCTCACTGGGGGACCATTTAAAAAAAAAAAAAAAAAAAAAATGGCGGGTCGGTGTTAAATCGCACTAATGACAATAATAAATGAAAGACAGAGACAAGTGCTGCAGATAAAGGTTTAAATAACCGTTTCGTGTAGCTGTAAATAAGACGGGCGTCTGTACGCAGCGTAAACACATGCGTGTGTTTTCTGAGCTGGTCCGAACAGGAAGCCGAAGGGAAGGTTTTTCTCACCGTGATTTATAATTCCCGCTCGTTCCGGAAGGAGAAAATTCACATCAAATCCGTCTGAGTGCGATAAATACCGGCGGCGTTTGCGTCGCAGACGAGCGCTCAGACAAAAAGTGCTTCTGCTGCTGCTGCGGATACGAATCTGCGGCGCCTCGTTCCCATTGGCTGGAATTTGAGCCGGGCGGACCAATCAGGGAGTCGCTAGAGATGCCGCTGCCCGGGAAGGAGCGCTGGTTTCAGCGCGACGTCTTCGCGCGGTTACTAAAGCAGTTTCTCAAGAAAATAGCAGGTTACGTACACAAACGGGTAAGGTTGTGTTTGTAAAGATTTCTTTTTTTTGTGTGTGATTAAGGAAACTAAGACGTAACCATTAAAAATGTGAGACGAGTTTCTCAATCATTCCCGCCCACACACATAGTCCTTGTCGTTAAATCGAGCGAACCTCAGAGAGCGCGAGAAGGCAGTTTAAGTTTTTTTATTGATGTATTTTTTTTCAAGGAGGGACACACATGACATATATATTAATTACATTCGTGCATGTGATCATACATGTGTTTATATTTTTATTTTTATGGGTGTTTTAATACAATGTAATAATTACGAAACTTGAAAATATGAATTTATCATCAAAGACACAAACCATTTCCATGACGCAATTCCAGGTGAAGCGTTAAAGGGCTGAAGTAAATAATCATTGTTTGCAGTCATTAACGGTACGGCATCTAGGATGAAGGTTTTATGTCGTTTTGAAAAGCACTTTTACGTGCCATTGATCCGACATGACATCTGCAAATTCCATCTCTTTATGAAAACCACTGGCGCTCCGAAAGAGCCAGGAAATTGATGCTGAGGGAAGAATATTTTGTCAAATGGAGATTAAAAAAAGATGGTCCTTCTTCCTTTAGCTGTTTGTCATTTATCTTTAAATGGAAATGAACTGACCCTTTAAAACTATTTCAATCACCGTGTTGGAGAACATGCTTGTTGACACGGAGATAATTATTTCCCGCGAGAGCTGAACAACCGACAGTCACAGTTTGGATAATAGAAGGTCATTACATTACATTTGTGAGGATGGAGGGTCCTTGAACTAACGTCCCTGCAGCTGCTTGCAGTTTAGGAGATTTATCCCTAATTCTCGTTTGAATAACGGGAAACTCGGCCTTGTTAGGTGAGCAAATAAATCCTTTGAGATAAAAAAAAGAGCTATTAATACCATATAGAGCTCTGTCATCAAAAAAGGCAAATAAACGTCCCCCGGTTATTGGTTCACGCGGTGCACGAGGTCTGCGGGGAGATATGCTGCCTTTTATTTAAACCCCTCTCTTGTTCTCGTCCCAGACGAAAATGCCTCCACGTGAGAGCAATTTGCGTCAGGATCGGTCGGGCCTCAAACAGAGCGGCGAGGGATAGTTTCGTAATTCTTGGGATTTAGCTGGAATCTTTGCACACTAAATTGAGGGTGTCGTGGACAAAGCGCATTGCATTTACACGGGGGGGGGGAGTTGTGCGTCAAACTCGATTAAAACCCACGAAAGCGCCGTGCCTTCCTGTGTAAGTAGGTTGCTTAATGCAGTCAGAGCAAATAACACTCGCACACCAACAACATCTCTCCCCCACAACCACGCACACAGGAAGTGGGCCGACTCGCATGTCAAACCTGTTTCCGCGTGAAAACTCATTCGCCCCAAACGCTTAATGACTGGTAAGTTTCTCTCACTGTGTTTTATCTTTCCTGCGTCTTATTTTCAGATACTTTGTTGGTACATTTACGCCAACTTTTTCCTTTAATCTCGTCCAGTTGGCCTTCGAAATGCAATTCTGCCTCCGCCGGGAACAGTAAATCACCCATTAGTTCATAATCCTTAAACGTTCTATGCAGAGAAATTCTTTTCTTCACTCCGGAAACCCCGTTTTCGGGTCTGTTTTCGTGACGGCAGCCTCGTCTTGTCGCTGCAGTTTTTCTTCGGCTGACAAAAAGTTCACATGAACTTTTGAAAAACAAAAGACAAGACCGCGCAAAGGCGTTTTTAGTCATTTACAAGCAAAAGTTTATTCTGAAAGCGTTGGGGTTGGAGGCCGGCTGCTTGTGTTTCCATGTTATTTTGTGTCCATCGCTGTTAAACGCGCTGAAGCATCCATGCGTCCAAGAGGCGATGAGAAGACGCGACCTCCATTAGCTGCAGAGGGTTGGAGGACGCGTCACGTAGCCGCTGTGCACGCCGTGCGCTTCCTTGCTGGTGGCGTTCCGGCAGGCGGATCTTACCCTCCATCTTACCCTCCATCTTACCCTTCATCTGGGGCTTCAAAGGGGGACGTTCTGTTCCGTTTTCCTCCCTTATCCACATCCGTCCTGTTCGCTCGCTGTTCAACGAGCCGTTTCTCACACATACCTTTTTAACATCCCTTCGATTTGACCGATTTACCCTCTAATCTGAAACAGGAGAGGAATGTCGAAGTATTTGAGACTCAAGCAATATATTTGATCTGATCTTTCGGCTGAAAATACTCAAATCTGACCCTTTAAGTCTTCTTGTGATATTGTGCGGTATCCTTCAAACGCTTCATTGTTTCTGACGTGGAATAACACAGACGAGGCGGTGGTGCCGACGTTCTTCGGGCTCTTCTCGGTGCCGGTTCCATCACCATGAAAAGATGTTTTCCTCTTATTGAGAACATGGCTTTTATTCCCCACAGGATCCAATGCCGGCAGTGAGTGCTGATCAAAAGGTGGAGGAGCCCTCTCCTGAAGGCCTCAAGAGAAGCCACCTAAACCATCAGGTTCTGGAGGAGTTTGCCCAAAATATGTCCGAGAACATAATGGAGTCATTCAAAAGCCAAACGGAGACGCTGGACCGCCGGGCGTCCGGATTTAATCAGAGCCAGGAGACGTTGGCCGAGGAGTTGGCCGAGGCAGTGATCCAGGTGGCTCTGCAGGAGGTCTTCAGTGCTCTCAACATAGCGGATCACGTGGAGGCTTCCCAGCCGTGGTCCCCCGTCCTGGGATCCCTCGACTACCCCGACGCCCCCCCGACCACGCCCCTCCTGCCCGAGCTGGAGAGGAGCCGGTGCAGCTTCGCCAGGAAGCTCAAAGGGGGCCTGGCGAAGGTTTACCTGCCCTCACCTCCCCCACCGACCCCGAAGGACGGAGAGGACCCGGACCCGGCCCCCGGGGCCGCCGCCGCCGCCGCCGACTCCCGGGTCGAGTTCATGGAGCATCTGACGCGCTCACTGCCCGCGGATGATTTGACGAGGGACTGTTTGGAAGCGGGATCTCCACGTGGAGCCGAGGTTGAGGCTTTCGCGGAGGCCCTCTCATGCGACATCATCGGTTTGGTCTCGAGGGGTAAAAACAGAGAGCAGATCGCCGACGATGACGACCTCCACCTACTGGCCCAACAACTGTCCGAAACCATCATCACATCGTCCCTCTGCGGCGCTAAAACACTCTTCTAGTATCCGTGACTCACGGCCTCGTATTTGTGAGGCCTGGCAAGAAAAATAATGGTATCCACCAACACGCAAGATCTTCTCATTGAAACGCGGTTTACTGCAATGATGTTGTTACAGAGGCCAATTTCCTTTTTACATTCAACGTTTAGTTAATGCTCCTCCAGATGAAGAAGAGTTTAACACTTTTTATTTGCAAGAACTGACCCGGGATTCCACAACAACTGCAGTGGCTGTGGATGTCCTGTAGGTGGTGTTACAGATGCAGCATTCTCAGCATGAGGTGAACCCGAGTTCACCTTCGGGCACAAAATAAATGCTTAAATGTTTATCTGTGTAAATCTTCCTCAACTTGTGTCGTTTGTCTGGATTTTGCGTTTTTCAAATGATCCCATATATTGTTCAACAGCAAGAATAAAGAGCTCACACCTGATAAACACAACTCTAGCAAAGGATGGAAATAGCTTTAGAGATATTTGAGTAAAAAGGAGCCCTGTGCCGCTTCATAATCTTGTGCCATGCTGCGAGGTTACTCGGTTATTTCCCCTGGTAATCGTCCTTGAAATCTTTATGGATCCGGTGATTCATTGGTCTCCTGGACTGAGCTGAGCAGACACATTTGGGATGAAGCCTGCCACGAAAGAAATTTATCTTCATACTGACTTACTTTGTGAGTTCAGATCCAGGAGAAGAGGCCTCGGTGCTGAACCACAACAGGGATGTGAGGCTGCAGAACAAGGAAAAGACGAAGAAAAACAAACTTGTTTTCCTTTCTGTATTTTCTGTTTCTCTTGAGTTCAGCTTGCCGCAGACACAACACTCAGTAAATGCCAAATTCAAAGACAGAAAAGCTGAAGTGAACCATGAACAAGAGCTTTATTGTTCCTATTAAACGGTTATTGGGCGCATTAACTCCAAAAACCTCTGGATGGAAGGGATTCAGTTTACAGCCTTGATGTTTGCATCAAAACCCCCAAAAATCTCTCATTCTCCATGAAAAGAACTTTGCAAACATCTAAATCTGAAGTTCTCTCGATGCCACAGTTAATTTGAGCCACACATGTGCAGGAACAGAGCCCAACACACACACACACACACACATGTTGACCGGTCTGCAGTGTGTGTGTGTGTGTGTGTGTGTGAGTGAGAGACCCTTGGCTGCAGTGCGTAATATGTCATGCAATGCTCAGTCTGAACTTTTAACTCCCACCGCTGATCGCCATTATGTTTTCTCACCACGGGACGCTACCCGACGCACACACACACGCACACACACACGCACACAGATAGGCTGCAGTGCTGGGCGGACAGCTGAGGAGTCAGAGGACAAACACACGCACACATCTGGAGAAATGCTTGCTGTGTTGTCAGGTGGTTGGCTGCCAGAAAGAGAGTAAGCGTGAGGGAGGAGGCGTGATGACACACAGAGCATGAACAGGGCCGTGGGGGGGGTTCTATGGACTGTAATGGGACCTAAATGGCAGAGGCACTTCATGTCTTTGTCTGCTCTAGCGTTGGGTAAACCCTCGTCCGCCAGATGGAACGAGTGGAGTTAAATGAACAGCACACGTCACCATAATAAGTGTCCGTCATGGAGCGACTTGAAACGCAGCTTTGCTATTTTTCAACCTAGAAAAAAATATTTTCCCCTGTTTCTGTTTTGGGGGGGGGGGGGGGACCAATTTTTGAAATTGGTGCAGTACTGAATAAACCGGCTGTATTGTGATCACGTCCTGCAAGTCCTCGCCGTCCGTGTAGGTCCAGAGGGACTTGTTCTCGCCACTCTGAGGCTCACATTCGTTTCGTGGCTTTTAACTGACACCACGTTGAGGCGCCCTTCACAGTTTTCCATTTGTCATATTAGCATGCTAACATTTTGTAGATGGGACTAAACAGAAGCAATTAGCATAAAAACGTTGCTGGGATGATGGTAAGTCCATGGGTAGAGGTCTCCTTGCAGGTGATAGGTATGATTCCATAACGCTGTTATGGCCTTGATGTGTTGAACCATCATCCGGACAAAGAAGTTGCAAATTTGCAGCAGAATCTGCCCTCAAGGAATGAACTCCAAACCCAAAACTATGTGAAATACAACATATCAACTGTACACAGAAAATATTTGGATCTATTTTCATCTGCTGTGGATTCAAACATCTGTTTTTCTACATTTATTTGAGTCCAAATTGTATTCAGTCTCACCTGCAGACCTCTGCGTCCCCATTCCTGGCCACCACGATCTGTAATCAGATGAAACAGATGGCTTCAACATCTGGTGTAGGCCCTCAAGTTCATTTCAAATGACTCGGGACTATTTTCCCTCACCAGCTGGGGTTCTGAAAAAGCTCTTGGGGTAAAAAACGTATTCTGAAAAGACTTGATTTCCTCACTCTGGACTTGGTTTCAACCCCCCCAGCTTTGCTCCTTTCTCGCTGAAGTCTGAGCGTTAGAGAAAGTCCCGGCCCTTTGATGGTCTGATGCGGCCTGACTGCGAGCTCATCTGTCTCCCGTCCCTGATAAACATCTGTGACTGCCGGGCACGCACAGACCGCTATCCAGCTGTGTGGTGGTGTAAAGGAAACAAAAGAGGGCCGGTTGTTCAGACTACTGGTTCTTGGGTAAAGGCACCGGGCGCCATGAGATTTATCAAATGGTTGTTGCATGTCTTTGAAGAACGTGAACTAAAGTGGAACTACTTGCCGTCGGCTTGACATTCTCGCCGCTAGTATAAGATTGATATCCATTAACTGGGGTATTGGTGGTTAACTGACATCATATGTGAGTGTGAGGTCATGAAAACACAACTTGGTGCCACAATGAAACTGAATGTGGTCCGTTTGACTCTAAATCGACCACAATTGACTAAATTAACATCATGTTGTGTTGAAGAAGACTTGAAACTAGAGACTGAGACCATAAACTCATGTTTACAACGTTTACTGAGGGAATAAATCCAGAGAGAAGTCATTTCCTCATAGACGTCTATGGGAGCAGAGGAGTCGCCTCTTGCTGGTCACTACAGAGAAAGTAGAGTCATTTCCTCCATAGACGTCCTATGGGAGCAGAGGAGTCGCCCCCTGCTGGTCACTACAGAGAAGTAGAGTCATTTTCTCATAGACGTCTATGGGAGCAGAGGAGTCGCCTCTTGCTGGTCACTACAGAGAAGTAGAGTCATTTCCTCATAGACGTCTATGGGAGCAGAAGATTCCCCCCTTGGTGTCCATTACACAGAATGCCAGAGGTTGCCCACCTGGACGTTGCCTGACGTCACCGAGTCACCATGACATGAGGTCCCGTCCGTAGGACCTTCTGCGCGTCCTCGTGTCTGTGGGTTTTGTGGCTGAAATATGAAGACAGTGTGCTGGAAACATGAGTGTGACTCACTGCTCTGCTGGGCGGTGATTCAAGACAGGAAGGAGGCTTCACGGCGCTCACAGCGATACACTGTCCGCTGCAATAAAATCTAGATGCCCTCATCTCTTCATGAGCTCTTACCTCGTGGGAGACGTACCATCGGACCTGGACTGGGCTGGATATCTACTGTCCAGCACCTCAGCGCTGTTAACGTCGAGCTGGAGGTCTAGATGTACAAATATGGAAAACTAGCGGGCAGAAAGAAGGCCGAGGATGCGGTCAGTGCGCTTCCTCCTACAGAGGGAAACATTGTGAAACATTGCAAGAGGAAGCGCACTGACCGCATCTGCGTCTTATTTTGTCTTATTTGGACAAATCCAACACTGTGTTGTTTATGCTTGTTAACTAGATGTCATGGTCATGTTTTAATTTAATGATGATAATAAAACTATTCTTTACTCAATGTTTGGTACTGTGACGTTTTGTTTTTTACAGCTTTTTACAACATTGAATTGGGTTAAATTGCATTTTGCTCTTTTATTGATAAATCTGACCATTATTTGACTGAAACATTTATATGAAATATCAAAACTGTGATTTCATTTCATGCATGAAGATAGAAAGAGGGATTTTTCTCCAGAAGTGTCACCTCTTTATTTCTTTTTTTTCCATCCACTTCTTGACTTGCGCCCTCTGCTCCTCCTGAAACTCACCTCACGTCCCAAAGGGGACAACGGTTGTCATGGTGACCGGATGACAAATTCAAACCTTTACAAAGTCTGGGCCTTCCTGTCATCAAGCAGCGGTTTATACTGTCCAATTACACACAGTGAAACAATCTCTATTTAATAAAGAGAGACTATAATTATTTGGTTAATCGTATGTATTATGCATATTTATATTTGTACTCTGTATATTTATATATACACAACTCGTGTCTCAAAGACTTGATGATTTTTTTTGCATGCTATGTTCTGCTTAGGCAACATGTGGCATTAGCGCCCCATGGAAACCCTGTTGAAACTGAAAGTGGGAGGGAGGGAGGGAGGGAGGGAGGGAGAGAGAGAGAGAGAGAGAGAGACAGCCCCCTCCTTGTTGCAGTCCATCCGTCCACAGCTGCCTCCTCCAGCAGCCGAGGACAGATCCCAACTTTTAAAGTGCCATAGAAGTTCTCTCCCCCCCTCCAGCACCCGGGAAGCGGCCTCGCCTGCAGCAGCGGGACGCATGGACTCCTGACTGCGCCCTTTCGCCTCTATTTGCTTCTTGTTTTTGGATCCCCCCCCCCAACCCCAACCCCAACCCCCACCCGCCCTCGGTTCTCGTGGTCCGCTCATGCGTCCGGGAATGCCATGGCGGCTCCGAGCGCACAGCAGCAGCACCAGGACTACTTCAGGTCGGTGAGCAGCGAGTCCACCACCTACATGATGGTCCCGGCCGGCGGGCCGAGCGGGACGACGCGCCGGGACGCGCCGTCCAAGATGTGGGTGGCGATGGTGGTGATCGTGGTGGTGGTGCTGCAGATCGCCTCCACCACGGAGCTCTTCCTCTACCTGAACATGTCCATCTCGCAGGTAGGAGCCGCCGGGTCGCAGGCGAACGCGTTGCGCGCAAAATGCGCTCTTTTTGCGCACTGATTTAGCGGGTTGGGTGGGGGGGAGGTGGGGGGCGCGCGAGGGGTGAGTAGTTTTGGGGTGAAATTCCTTCCTGAAGGACTCAGACAACAGCTCAGCCGGACTGCTCGTGTGAAACAATGCAATCCGGAATTTACAAGTGCTGCAACGAGGGGGAATGAGCTGCCTGTCTGTCTGTCTGCCTGTCTGCCTGCCTGCCTGTCTGCCTGTTTTTCACCACACATTGGAGCCATTTGTCAGAAGGGCCGGTGGCCTTCGAGTAGGTTGCAGATGTTGTGCAGAGGTGAGCAGGTCAGGGATGGAGGCTTTTCTATCCCCAGATTCACAGAAAATACCGACGTGCCTTTGCACAGCTGTGACAGATGTTTGAAAGCTCGTCTCAGTTGCTTCGGTCCATTTCTCTCGAATCATCCTCGACATTCGTAAAAAAACAGTCCGTGCAAACAGCAAAACACGACGGATTGCCTGCAAAGGCCGGTCCGTAAATATCCGTGTCACCGAACATGTCGGTGTGTCGTCAGTCAAAGTGCTGAGACATGTTCCGTTCTGCTCCAAACTAAGGCTGAAGTTTTATTAAACTGAAAGTTACACCTCAGTGTTTGTGTGCGACTGACTGCAAGAGACCAGGTTCACATTTACGCTTTGGCTGTTTGTGCTGTAACTTGTTGACTGAGATGTCGATGTGATGCAGGAAGGAAAACAAACAACACGTGAACAACGTCCTCGGGGGAAAGCTGCTAGTCACCTTTACGTGAGAGATCCCAGCTGCTTGGGACAGACGTGGAAGCGTGTTATCAGCGTTCACTGAGTCCCAGCGGGGGACACACGTGTCGCCTCAAAGCGAAACGGAGGCCGGCGATGGAGCGAAGACGAGGCGGCGTGGATGAAAGTAAATGAGCAACGAGTGGAAACGGTGTTTTTAATCCTCATTAACAAATGCTTTTGTGTTAAAAATACATTATAACAGCATCACACCCAAACTACAGCAGAGTTGTTTCCTTCATGAAAGGATTTAAGCTCGTGAAAAATGCATTTTTTTTGCACGTGGAAGTTGAAGATCACGCAAAACGCGACTTTTCTTGTCAGCGATTGAACCGTTTCCTTTTCTTTGTCTTCCCCCCCGCGAGGGGAACGCGCTATGTAACGTGTTTCGGAGTCCGCTGCGCCTCACTCATCCCTTCCTGCGGCGATGCACCGCGAACGCTTCATCATGTAGCCGAAGCTTTCGCCCAAAGAGAGAGTACGCGGCGTTTCAGCGAGACAAAAGCTCGAGTCGCAGCTCAATCCGTGGGCTGGATCTCTGTTCCACGCCGAGAAACCGGCAGGAAACGGCATGAGTAACAATTCAGAGCCGCGGATTGTCTGCGTGGCGGCGAGCTTTGGGAATCCCCGGCTCTCGAGCCAGCTATTTTTAAATCTGGCTGTTAAACAGGCTTTCTTTCTCCGTGGGAGCTGGAACCCTCACGTGGAACAACGAGGAACGCTGCAGTGTCACGCAGACCCGTGGCCCTGAATGGAGAAGCTCCGGCTGCTTTGTGCGGCTGCTGGACGTGCAAAAAACCACGTCGATCGAGGCCCAGCGGTTGGGTCGCGGGCCCCCCCCCGGACGGGCCCGGCCCGCTCGATAGCGAACCCGAGGCCCGAACGCCCCGTTCGCAGGGACAATGGACCTTTTTCTCTGGCTTCCCGTTTTGCCCTCCTGCTCGCTGAGGCGTCAACGAACGTCGCGGCGGGAGACACAACGGAGCCCAGTCAGACGCTTCGCGACCGTCCCGTCAGGGGGTTCGAGAAGCGGACGCACGCACACTCGCATTGTTTGTGGTCCTCGCGCTGATTTGCGTGAAGTTTGTGGGTTTTTCTGTGTGTGTGCGATTGGCATTCCATTCCTTTCACTTCACTGGTCCACTTTATTATTGTTTGGGTTCACAGATAGGCTGACTCACCCCTTCATGCAACAATACGCCCGGTGTGTGCGTGTGTGTGTGTGTGTGCGTGTGTGTGTGGTCTGACTCACACAATTGGAGCTCACTGTGGCCGTTTCTAAGGGTGTGTGTGGTCCGCTTAGCTCGGCTAAAAGCTCTATTTTCTGTCGTTCCTATCGGTGTTTGTGTGGTTTAAAGTGGGATTTTTTTTTTTTTTACGCCCTGCGGTCGGGAGCCGTGATGTCTGCGATAACACCGAGACCTCCGGGGGCAACGGAAAATTAACAAAGTCCGAGCAGAACTCGTCAGGTGGGGAGAGAAAGCCCGCGGAGGTCATTCCAGGCGAGCATTCGCACGCGATGGACGAGGTCACCGGGCCTCATCGGATCCAGCGCTCCGATCCCAAAGACGGCGCTTTGATTCCTCTGTGGGGTTCTCCTCCGTTACGAGATGGCCACACGCACACACACACACACACACACAAAAACATAAAAACGTTGTGGTGTGCCCATCTGTCCGAAGACGGGTTCTATGCAGCCGCCGTAGAAGAGCATCGGCCCGTTGTTGTATATTTATCATTTATCCCGGGGGTGAAGGTCAGCGGCAGCGTTACAGGATCAATGGATGTCACGGCCAGGGGGCGAGGGGGTGTCATACACACGTGTGCAACACACAACCCGACATACAGGTGCACTGACACAGGTTGGTCGCCATTTAGGTTTAGGTAAAAAGATTTCTCATATAGACTCCAACTCAAATGCCCCCACAATAACACCTTCCACCCCCCCCCCCACCCTCCCTCGCCTTTCACCTCCTGCGTGTTTTGCTGTTAAGGGTCGAGTCCACATCAGAGAATCGAGTTACAGTTTTAGGGCTCGAGGGGGGGTGGTGAATTTTTCAGGAGTGACATAAAGAGGAAGGAGAGGAGAAGTTAAGTGGTTCTTTGGCAGTGTGTGTGTGTGTGCGTGTGTGTGTGTCTGTGTGTGTGTGTGTGTGTGTGTGTGTCTTCATGGGTGTAGCACAGAAAGAACAAGGCCTGCTTACAGGCCGGAGAAGGTGAAAGACAAAGATTTGGCCGTATTTTGCCTTTTATGACTCAATGGAGACGACGAGGCCAAAGCTGACATCAGCTGAGTGATCCCAGAGCAGCAGACGGGTTGGCCGGTGCAGGGGGGGGTTCTTTTTTATTTCTCAGTATTGTGACACAATTTACAGTCAGTTTTATCTGTAAATTGTTGCTTTCGACGTGGTTTTTTACTGCTGTAAACAAACAGCCTTTAGAGGAGAGGAAGTTTGCTTTATTGAAAACCGTTACACATGTTGAAGTCTTTATAAATGGAACGAAATGAATTCTCCTCTCATCAGTACGAGTGTTTCACATCAGAGTCCAATCAGAGACGTACGAGCGCGGACCTCCACCTGGACCACGTGGTCCGGTTCTTAGGTTCTTAGGATTCTCGTGGTCCGGTTCTTAGGTTCTTAGAATTCTCGTGGTCCGGTTCTTAGGTTCTTAGGATTACCGTGGTCCGGTTCTTAGGTTCTTAGGACTCTCGTGGTCCGGTTCTTAGGTTTTTAGGATTATTGTGGTCCGGTTCATAGGTTCTTAGAATTCTTGTGGTCCGGTTCTTAGGTTCTTGGGATTATCGTGGTCCGGTTCTTAGGTTCCTAGGAGCACCTTGGTCCGGTTCTTAGGTTCCTAGGAGCACCTTGGTCCGGTTCTTAGGTTCTTAGGACTCTCGTGATCCGGTTCTTAGGTTTTTAGGATTATCGTGGTCCGGTTCTTAGGTTCCTAGGAGCACCTTGGTCCGGTTCTTAAGTTCCTAGGAGCACCGTGGTCCGGTTCTTAAGTTCCTAGGAGCACCGTGGTCCGGTTCTTAGGTTCCTAGGAGCACCGTGGTCTGGTTCTTAGGTTCCTAGGAGCACCTTGGTCTGGTTCTTAAGTTCTTACGTAAAGGAAACGATCAACTTTGTTAAAAAGAGAAGCTTTGCAGGCTTTTCTACAACCTTTGGGCGCATCCCCTTTGCTCCCAATGTCTCCTGTTTCCCTCCCTTAAGTACTCTCCTAACCCCTTAAGTAATCTCCTAACCCCTTAAGGAGCCCACGAGGTCCTAAAAGTTGACAACACAACAGCCGACATCATTTCATCATCACAAAGACTCTCTAAGGGGACCGGGGGAGACGGGAGAGTTGCAACAGTAAGAGAAAACCTGGGAGGAGCCTGTTGCTCTGCAACGCGTCATATGATGGACGGCAGATCCACACAGACGCACAAGCACGCGCACAGACACACAAGCACGCACACAGACGCACACAGACTAACACAGACAACCTTGGTCCAGCAGCTTGAGACGTGAAAACAGGATATTTGTGTTCCCACGTTGGAATGCTCATTAGGATGTGGCTGCAGCTGTGTGTGTGTCTGTGTGTGTCTGTGTGCGTGTGCGCGTGTGTGCACGCGCCAGCAGCTGGTGCTGTGTGTTATCACTCTGTTTGCTAAGTCAACACGGCCATAAAGCGCTGATAAGCGATTTAAGGGCTACTAATAGACGCTAGGCTGCATCTGGGGGCCGATAGCCGAGCACCTGCTGAGCGCTGGTTCTTTTAATAACAGTCAGCAGAATATTGGTTTACTTCTTGTTTAACGTGTCGCTTTGTCGTCTGCATGCTTCATAATCCTGGTGTCGTTTCATTTTAAATGGCCTTGCTTTTATTTGCCGTAAAGAAACAGAAATACATTCATTTATTCGCGAGAAAACAAAACAGACAAACATCTCTTTGATGCAAATGTTGTCGACCTTAAAATGAAGACAAAAGGTTCGGCGTCGCAGAGCCGAACATCGAGGCGTCGCACGATGCTGAAAGGAAGCCGACGACATTCTTTCCTCCAGCGAAAAGACACGAGCAGCGACTTTGTGGATCCGTGTGAGTCCGTTAAATGAAACTTCACCACATCGTGTTCGCTGTGAAGAGAAAGCCCCGGCGAGCAGGAGGCACTTCAGGTCTTACCATTTGAAAAA